GAAATTGGCCTCAATGATTTGGGATCGAGGGGGATTATCCCTCTTTATCCTGCCTCATCTCGTGTAGGCCTGGACAGCCTTCGTAGGTGGGCCCCATCCGTCGTCTACCCCGACCGCAAATGCGGCCGGTGTAGGCGCTTTGTGGGACCTCCTTTTGTCCTGGCTGGGCCCCGCCGGCTAGGGCCCTTTCTTCTGGAGCTCTTCTTGCTTCGCCGGCTTGTCTGTGTTGTTAGATATAGTGAACTTTGAATTATTTTATGTTGCACTAATAATGGGGGTTTCTGGTGCTGCGAATTGACAAATTTGAAAATAAGTGATGCACAGGACGTCGGCAGTAATCCCTACTAGTTTCAATACCTGACACCAAGAGGGGCGTTTCAAGAAAATTTACAATTATAGAAGAAGGATTTTGCGTGAATGCTGTTGAAATATGCAGAAAATATATTTCTCTGCGCCCAATTCGCCTAACATAAGATAAATTCCTTCTTACAACCATCAAACGGCATGGTAGATGGAAGTGCTCCTCTGTAGCAGAAAGTTATGTTGAGGAATCTATATCTAATAAAGTTGATATTGAAAGGAAAATCCAAGGAAAATATAGTTGTTCCTTACAAGAAGAGACATCCGTAACTTATGCAAATTCTTCACAAACTTCGGCAGATGTTATGCCTTCCGAAAATGATGGCAGCAATGCTACAAGGGTTGTTATTAACGAAAATAAAGTTAAATGTGATAAGACAAAAAGTGTCTATTACTGATGTAATGAACCTGTTTTATTTTTTATTTTATTATGTCTGGATTTAAAGATATTTCTTTTTGTTTCGGATTATTTTACCCCGGCGGCGAGAATTATTGATTTTTCTACATATATATCAAATATCCGCTCGCGGGTCCGACCGGCCGATACCCCACTCTGACAAGCCGTTGGTCACGTGGATGTCCCACCACGACCGGTGTCAATCCGGTGGGGATTTGGGCAACAAAAGTCCTCGACATTCCCCGAAACCGACAGTTCGAATCCAGAACTCAACACCGAACAGACGTCCACCGCCAGCAAGAACTCTCCACCGAAGCCAGCCCCGAATAACCAGTGAACCTAGTAAGAATTATTTTCCTTATTATTATCCGTTCCAACCGGGTACAAGTCCGAAAAGATTTGTACACTTTAAGTGTGGAATTACTGTGGGCCCGAGAAGAATATTCTTGGTAACCCACACACAAATTCCACCGTCCGTCTCAACCCGCACGACAGTGCAATCGTTGGATTCGGCGTGTTAAACCCAATCCTGACGAAGCCGTCGTGTTTACTACAGCGTTGCTTGGTGTCCCGCACCTTGATGTACGCTGGGTAATAGGGGATATGTGAACCAAGACCTAGAGGTTCGGCGTGCCCACCCAATCTCCGGGTCGTTCCATATAGTATCCGTACGCTTCTCCCTGGTCGGCGTGTATACCCATCAGACCGAGAAGCGTTGTATACAGAGAGTCCGACACCATCGGCCACCAGGACGTATAAAGCTTAAAGGCTAGTACGAATTGTAAGGCGAGATACTTCGGATCCCGTTTCACCATCCTTTCTTTCCGCCTTGCACCGCTTGGGCTTTCTTCGCTGGTTATTGCTATCGCTTACCGCTTACCGCATTCCGCTTACTAATTTTGCATTGCTTGCTAGGCCATTATACCGATATTTGACCGCCCGCCTGTTTAAAATAAGTCCGAAATAATTCCGAATAAATTTTGGTTTATTTTCAGAATCAGCGGGGACCAGTAAAAAACGTCTATAAATATTTTAATCAGACCGTCTAAAATCACCTTTTCCTTTGTACATAAAAACCGTCTACGATTGTAGAGTAATAAATATTTTATTTCGATCCCGTTTGCAAATATTTATTTCTTTTCTAAGGTGATAAGTAAAATGGTAAAAAACCCAGAGTTATGACTTTTTTTAATTTTGTCTCTTTTCACACTGATTTTGTATATAATTATTGTTAATAAACTTGTAAATAATTTCAGTCGTTTAGTAGTGGGTAGGAATAAAAATTGACACTATATGTATTTGTAATAAGTATTAATATTTTCCCTGTGTGAATAAATCTAGTAAAACTTAATAGGTTTATTTCTTTCACCGTCGAGGTAAAACGATAACATTCCGAACCAGCAAAAACGCTGATATCGTTTTGTAGAGCTCCCGTTAAATTTCATATTTAAAATAAAACTACACTGAGAAAACTACTCTCTGCCGAACTCTCTGCCGTTTTCTCCTAAAAGAAATTCATTGACCCCTGGAATTAATTTTCTTCACTGTAGCTACCTGTGCACTTTACTCTAAACCGAGGGTAAGGGATACGTGGAGTTTCCCCCACGTCAAATTTAGGGAAACTGGCGCCCGAGAATAAAACCGACTATATAAGTTATTAAATAACATTACCGTTTAGAGTCCAGTCCGAGGAATAGAAGACCGTTCCGAAAAATTAAATTACAGGGGGTGTACACACCATAGTTAAAAGTAATCAAATTTACACCGAACGATCCATAAAGAGAGAACCGAGGAAAAGTGCGTCACACTATAAATGTAAATGTTAAAGTTAATAAGTAAATATCTAAGTTAAATTTGATTTATTTTAGGTTTATTATTTTTTTAATTATTCTACGAATGAAATAAAGTTAGTTTATTCCACTAGTGGAAAAAGTATCACTTTAGACGGTTCATATGTATGTCCGATTATAAGGTGATAGTGGATAAATAATATTGTAATACCCAATAGTGGACGTAGTAACAGCAGTAGTAATGGTATAAATATATTTAATGATTGCTGATTTTTTATCTCTATCAGGAAAGGAACTGTACCTATAATCTAAAATATCGTACATACCGTAGGTAACGGTTGCGGTTGCAACAAATGAACTCCTCCCCCAATATTGACAGTTTTAGGCCCTAGAGGTCTTACGCCATTAAACAATGGATTAGCGTTTATGAACAGGAGACTGACATTCTTGATAATATCCTTCGAGGGAATCTGCTGACCTAGGTATTTACTAACCATCCTGTCCTGCAGAGGTTTCAGAATAAAAGTTTTCAGAGCTTCGTCAGCTAACCAATAAAGAGTGTTCAACATTCTTTCCTTCAGAGTTAGTGGCAGGGGATAAGGCATATCCCTATCTGGGTACATCACGGGGTGGGTTGGGTTACCTGCGAACATATGACCGTCTATGGTGGCGTCCATGGATATCACGCCAATCATTGGGGCGTTGAGACTTCGACCGAGAGAGAAACCGAATGTTACAAGAAACTCCGTGAAAAACAGATCGACCTTTTCTTCTCTCCTCAGCAACTCTTGGATTCCAGGATGTGATAGTTGATACTCAAGACATTCGGTCATTCCTTCCAATATTGTGAAGAATACTTTGATTATTGGTTGACCTTCTCCCATTTTATCTGTGACCTTATATTTTTCCATAATATCGTAAGTTCCATTTAGAATTATATGAGTGATATTCTCGTTATTTTCTACAATGACGTTGGGTTGAATAAGAGTGATTTTGTGTCCTCTTTTCGCCAGTTCTAGCCAGAGGGGCTTGAAGGATATTTGGTGGCTGTAGAATGGTATTGGCATATATGCCACTATGTTTGCTGAGTGACATATTTGGGAATATAAGACACTGAGACTACACAACACGAGCGCGCACTTCATGTTTGGGAAATTATCTACAAAAAAACTAAATACCCAGGTACATATTAAATTTATACATAATGATATTCACTTCTTATCTCCATATCTTGAATTCCGTTTTATTTGCGGATGACATGACGTGCGATTACTTTTAGTTAGGACATTCATGATGTTCACTAACATTTATACATTTGACTTTCTAATTAAATTTGCAGTTTTTGAGTAATCCTAAGAAAATTAACGGAAAAAAAATTGTAAATTTTTGCTTTGTTTAAGAAGGCCTATGGACTTCAAAATTTTTTTTTGGTAATTTCATCATAAAACTCTTTTAGATAGATTTTCTTCAATTTGAGAGTCTTGTACGATTATTATTTGTCGTTAAGTTATCGTAGATCAAAACAAAAAAATCATTTTTGACTTTGGCAATAAATTACTCGGGAAATAATGGTCGTACAGAAAATCCAAGCAGGGTTTTGGAGACTGGACCACGATTTTTATTACACCGAAACTATATCTGAATCATATCCGTCAATTGATTACACAGCCACTCAAAAAAAAACTGTACTTTTCATGCGACATATGTCATCCGTAGTATTTTTGCCTCCCGTTCACGAATCCGGTGTCAGAATTGAGCTATCACATCACAGGAGTTTCCTAACCTCAAAAAAACAGGTTAAAAATAGCAAAAATTCACGAGAAATTATTTCTATTTCTAACCTCAAAGAAACTTGTCAATTAAGGTCAGATATCACGAATATTCAAAAAATAACAGATTCGCGTCAAAGTTGGCATACGGGGGTTTTCGGGGTCGCTGATCACGGATCCATTTAGCAAAATTCAAGATGGCGGACCCAAAATGGCGGACCTAAAATGGCAGACCAAATTTCCAAAAAAGAAACAGATTCGCGCCAAATTTGGTATAAGGGGGTTTTCGGGGTCACTGATCACGAATCCCAGGCAAATTCAGTCTGATCTCGGATTCGTCATCAGTGACCCCGAAAACCCCCGTATACCAAATTTGTCACGAATGTGTTATTTTTTTAATCAGATTTACAAAATTCGTTTTTAAAAGTTTAGTCAGTTACCTATGTACTTTTTTACCTGAGATTAAGCACAAAATTCGTGACTAGATCTTTTACAGAAAAAACATATAGCCGAAAAAAATACGTAATCAGCGACCCCGAAAATCCCTGTATACCAAATTTGGCGCAAATCTGTTATTCTTTCATATTTTGGTCGGCCATCCATTCACCTCGGATCCGTGATCAGCGACCCCGAAAACCCGCATATACCAAATTTGACGCGAATCTGTTATTTTTTGAAAATTCGTAATATCTGACCTTAATCGACCCGTTTTTTTTGAGGTTAGAAAAAGAACCATCAATTCTGACCGCGGATTCACGTTTGGCGGAATCTTAACCATATAAATGAACATTTGAATATAGAAAAAAAAATTTTGTATTTTTCCTAGCACTTTTTCGTGAATTTTTGCTAATTTTAACCTGATTTTTCAGGTTGGAAACTCCTGTGATGTGATAGCTCAATTCAATAGCACCGGATTCGTGATCAGGAGGCAAAAATACTACGGATGACATATGTCGCATGAAAAGTACAGACAACTTTTTTTCTGTGGCTATGTTATTTAACATAGCAGATCTTATTTCAATGATCTTATTTCAATAAATAACCTATTGTAAGTAACACAGAAAGAGTACAATACGTAAAAAACACGAACGCTAAAATGACATTTACTTGCTTTGTTGTATTATTTTTTGTTTTCCAGGCATTCATGATTAGTCAAAATATGTTTGTTGTCGGGCACTATCTAATAATGCGATACGTATTGATTAATATTTTCATGGTTTATCTGTAGTACATGTTTCACAAAAGTAAATTTATATACATCGTTGAATTCAGAATGGAAATCTGCACAATAATAATTAAAAAAAAAACCTATACCTATTGCCATTTGACAAAAAAAAGTTGACTATCGCTTTTCAAAAAAAAAATAATAATAATAAATACACTCCAATAGAGCCATTTCATATAATTTTTTGTTTTTTAAAATCAGACTATATAAATGACGGAGCTATGGCTTTGCGGCCTTTTTTTAGACAGCCTGTATCACATGTTCATTGTTAAAAGTTACTGAAAAAATCACCCGCACATTTAATTAATTAAGTAGGTCAGTTTATGTTTCTTCTCGTGATTTTATTTATTATTTTATTTAATTTTCTCCGTTTTTGTATCTGAAAATACAAGTATAAGTAAAGTTGACTTTTATGTTTTAATATCAGTCATCATTTTAATGATTTTATTTGAGTAAATGCTCAAAAATACCTCCATTTCCACGAACACAGGACCGATATCTTTTTAGTAAAGAAAATGTAATTTGTTCCATATTTACTGTTGCTTGAATCTGATGAAAAGCATTATTTATTCTTTCTTCTAACTGCTCAGAATGTCAAAGTTGCTATCGCAGCCTACTATGTAATTTTAAAAAGGATTATATTCGAATATCGAAGTGTGTTCTCAGTTCGTTTTTTAAGTTTTACAACTGGACAGTAATATATATAATTCTATAGACTGATTTTTCTCTAATCTTTTATACGTACACGAAAATTGGTAGCAGAATTACTGTATCTTATTCGAATTGAATTAAATGTACAGCTTCCTAACTTCAAAAATACCATACATTTAGTGTGCTCAGGAAAACTGTTCTGTTCCTTTAGGGGTGCTTGACTAATGCGAGTCCCTTCATCTCTAAAGAAAGGGAAGAAATTCAAAAGAAATTAAAAGATATGTATTTAAATGTTTTAGAAACAAATCTATGTCATCATATAAGAATATATTATAGTGCGTAGAAAATTCAAAAAGATATTTAAGTTACTTGAAAAAAAGTTGTAGTGCATATAAATGACTTCACCACAAAACTTATAAAATAATTTCTTTATTTTTTTAAATTCAAATTAATTCAGACTCTGTTCAAATCGAATACCTACCAATAACTAATTCTTTCCTCCACATTTTTTTTGGAAAGATATATTGTTCAAAACAGAAAACATTAGGCCTAGTTTTTTGTAGTTAGAGAAAAGGTTTTACTACCCATAAATATGAAACAAATTTGCCGGCTTATACCCAATCAATTAACGACGTTCTTTGTAATAACAATTATATTATTTAATAGCAATTAAGAGACCACCTCTGAGTTTCTTCATTAACACCAATCCGCTGAGACAAACAATTCAATTAAACGATAATTTTATGACAGTTATCCGTACTTAATTAAATTTAGAGACCTAATGTCAGCACGGGATGGCTCATTTTTGCCGCTGCCTTGAATATAAATCTGGTATGCGGTATTTTTTTTATTACCGCCTAAAAATATGACTAATTTTCTTAGCTATCAAATAAATCTCATTAGCCTCATCAAAATATTTTTTCTTTTTCATATAAAAACTATTAGTCGGTTACACTTTGTAATACCAATGTTGTCCTCGAACGGGTTGTTCTCAGCATCTAATATTCAGCTCATAAATGTTTGGGAAATTCTAAACTTGGACTTTTTCCTACAAAATGTGCCAATTCTAATTAATAACACAGCTTTTCTTGTGTAGCTAGATTTTGTGAATATAATATGCACTTTCGTAACTCTTATGCAAATTTTGCGATACTAGCTGTGAAGAACCAGCGTCCATCCTTCCTCGACTTCAGTATCAATGTCTTCCGCATTACTAATACTCCAATTTCTATTGTACAATTTTATTTTCTAAAAATAATGTACTCTTGTTAGAACTTCCTAATGTGGACGATTTTCGAGAAAAAATACTCTTACAATATTACACCATAAATTCTTATTTTTTGTCGTCCTCACCCCCTGTATTTACGGGAGGTCTTTCTGAAATACCCTGTATTGTATATTTATATGGAATTTTGCTTAATACATGAAAATACCTTATTAGAAATTATAAATACATGTCCACATTTTTTACGAAATTTTTTTCATCATTTTTTGTCGGACTGACGATTTGCGGATACATTTTTGTCGGACATTACAGTTTTTGCTTATAAAAAACAATTTTCTACCGTGTGTTATTTTTGTCTGACATGTGGTAATCGATTTATCATTCCCCGTGAAAATTCAGATTTCCAGCTGTCGGACTGAAAAAACGCGGCTTGAAATTTGTCGGACAACAATACTTTTTGACTGAATTAATTATTTACAATTAATTTTACTAAAAAATTACCTATGTGGTAATTGATTTTCAATACCCTGTTATTTTGGCATGTTTCGACCGGTAGACACGTCAATGTCGGAAGAATTTCTGTCGGACAAATTTAAATCCGCATTTGCAACAAAATTTCCAGTTACTTAAGCTAAAAATAAGAGATGTGGTCTTGACTTTTCAAGACCTAGGGAAATTGCCATGTTTTTGGAATTATCCGAGTGGAAAAGCGGAGGAATCGAGAAAAGTCGCAGAGGAAAAATGTGGTAAACTCGTCAAAAGTATGTACCTCAGGAGTTATAAAGTATGTGGTAATCAACTTTCCAGGGGGGGGGGCTGTACTGTGGACTATTATACACGTAAACGTTGTCAGCCAGTTTTCTTGCAGGGAAATCACCCATTTCGAAAAAAAAGCACGCACTTGGTTGAATTTTCAAACAATTATTTACAATTAAAAATGAACGATTGCATTGTTAATGACAGCAAGTGCTATTGTTTGGCTATCAAAGCATGGCTTTAAAAAATTCAGTTTTTATCTTCTGTATTTTTAAAACACATTTAAACATTTTAATAATTTAATTTCCAAATTATTGTAAATAATTAACAACAGAACAGGAATGAATTATAGTGGCTGCAAGTTGATAAAAATGATTTTGTTAGCGTATATTGTTTTAGGACATCATTTTAGTATAGTACATCATTTTATTCGATTCATTGTTTTTGTAAATCCATTATTTCTTACTGCAGCATTTTAGTGAAAATATGTTAGGATGTTTTTTTGGCT